ACGCAAATATCCACAGCCACGGTAGCCTATAAATACTGCAATTCCCTGTGTACGAATTATCCCTCTCTGCCATTGTGTCTGATGAGGTATCCGCGACGGAATGCGAATCGTCGGGCGATCGAAGTTGTTATCCCAGTGATTGTATCTGTTTCGCTTCTTTCTTCCTAGAATTTGCATTTTCCCTTGAACCGTGTTTTTTAAAAAAATATAGAAAGAAGAAATATTTTTTACAAGTATTTGCATGGAATCGGATTGCAAATGAACGTACATAACTAAGCGTGGGCGTGAGCGTCACGTGGGAAAATATTATGCACAGTGTCGCAGCTGTTGGAGCTCAGGGTCAACCCAAGACAGCAGACCTGCTTTATGACAATCTTGAACTTGCAATTGGCGTTTCACAAGAAAAGTTAACCTCGTCAAACATGCAGCCACGTAAAGAATTATGGTCGACACTGCGTTGTGGATTATATGTGAACGTGGTTCACCGGGTCTTTGGCATTGTGTGTTTGTGCACTGTTCTGAAAGCATGAGCGGAAAATGCCACGGCTCCTAGTAAACAGTACGAGCAAGTGAGCTCGACACATTGCAGACAAATCCAATAATTTGTTCTGCAGGCGATGTGCATTTTTTCTTCGGATGACCTAGTCGTTTCGATGGTAATACCCTTGCGTAAACTGATGTCAGAGACCCTGCTGCATGAGACTATATTGGGCCTGAAGACACGTTTTGCTAGCCACCTTGCATGTTTTCGTATGCTAAACTTAAAAACCTTGTCCTCGAATGCATTCTGAATATTACTCTAGTTGTAATACGGGCTCCAAAAACTAACCTTACATCCCAAAACCAACCCTAAGATTAGAGTTGAAAACTAATATTTAAAACTCCACCCTACACTTAACCTTTCCTCTAAAAAAAACTTCAAATTAGCACTAACTTAAACCCTTGAGCCTAAAATTCGTCCTTAAACCTAGCCTTAACCATTAATATTGGGGTTAGACTGACTGTAACCTGAGTTGGATAAAAAGGCCAATGGGTAAACTTTATTGGTAATATTACTATCAGAGGTAAGTTCCCCTTACCGCATAGCATAGTTCGAAATCTAATACTGAGCAAAGTCTACCGAAAATGACTACTTTGAAGAAATAATTGGGAAAGCTCTAGGATAACAACTGGGTGGGGCCACACACAAAACTGTGTTTAAAAGCTGAATTAACAGAGCTACTACAAACGTCGAGTACTCATCTACTGATCCAGTTTCTGGCAGATGAACATGGATTTGTATCGATGGTGTAGATCAGAGTTCCGGAACCCTTTTGACTCAGAGAGCCAAGAAAGCAAATATTTGGAAACATATTTCATTTAGAACCATGTAATTTTAAGACTGAATTCAGTTAAATGTGAGTGTAAAAAGCTTCTAGGTTTATTCATTGGAGGAAACAAAACACAAAATCTTAAGTTTCTAGTTCTAATTTTATGTGAAAGAGCCAGATGCAATCATCAAAAGAGCCACACCTGGCTCGCGAGCCATACGTTCCCGACCTCTGGTCTAGAATTTAGAAGAGCTTATTCCAAATGACCGTCATAAGCGCATTAGATAAGCGCACATATAAGAAGTCAAAATCTTACTTAGTAATGGTAGTAGTAGTAGTTGTTGTTGTTGTGGTCTTACGAGGACATCGACTGCATGACTCGGCGCAGTTATGAGCCATCCAAAATCGATTTCGGTGACATTCACCCCTTGCCGCCCAATCCTTGCAATCATCCGGGTAAAGGTAAGTGTCTCTGCAGGCTGCTGGATCGATTGTGGTCTGTTCCGTCGAACCACCGCAGAGGTGGCAGCTCTTGGCACACATGAGCCGCATGTATTTGGCGTTTTTTGTGCACTGGTCTCCTTTCTGCCAGAGAGGGCAGTTGACGTGAAAATCATCGCAACTAAAATCAGATAAGTCAAAAGTTCCTGAGAATTGGCGTTTAATCTCGAAGTGGTACTTGACGAGTTCGGACAATTTTAACCTTCAGGGCAAACAGCTTCCGACTTTCTACATTAGAAAAGCTGGCCGTATTTCTAACTACGCAAAACACCGAAACCCGCTGTCGAGAAAAAAAAGACGTCCATAACAGAATTCTGCTATTGTTATGTCATGATCATTTAAAAAATTTCTATAATAGTTTTTGCATTTAAAAAACACTTAATTAGGTATTCAGCCAACAAATGCCCGTGTATATTGCCTATTTTCAAGGGAAAGTCAAGGTAAAAATGAAGCTTAATGACCATTATTTTAATTTAAATGAAGACAAATGGCAACTTACTTTTCTATTTATATTGGATTACTTTTCAATACATTCTATTACTTTCATCAAGTTCAAAAAAGATCGGCCGCATATATACAAAGATTTTGCGAAGATTGTTGATCCGTTTCTAAACTACGCACGAGCGGAAATTATATTGCACGAAACAGCACCTTACTACATGCTTTAGATTTAATGAAATTGTTCTTTACCTTCATCTACGCGATAAGTTATATGCATTTTTGGTAATCATTCCGAAGTCTCGATGCAGAAAACCAAAATAATATCGAAACGTTTTGGTATGCGTTTATGACAACAACGTCAGGCCTTAGCAAAAAAATAATTTTTAAAGTTCAAATCGTTCCTTGTTTCTAAAGAACAAAGCCGTTTCATAAACTTGACTTCACCTGACTTACATCAGCTTACAACTAGGTTATCCGATTCTGCAAGGGATATGGTTTGGTTCTGACGCACTTAAATAGCAAAAGAACTTTCTTCGATATGCGGCAGCCTCCGATTTTGCCAATATCTGCCTATAAATCCTAATTAAACTGAACTAAACAGACAGCTTTCCCTACTAAAATGCTTTTTCAGGATCAAATTCACTCATTAGATCAAAATAACGTGACCAAATGTATACTAAACTACCAAGTCCAATTTCAATTATGACTTTGCGTGAATTATCTTACTTACTGTAATTAAAAAACAGGACTGATTACTTTTTGTTTTCACTTCAAAAGTTTTGTACTGCCAGCTCGACGGCCAGTGAAAATCTAATGATAGTTAAGTGTAATAGAGAACCATTTACACTGATAACTAATAAATGTTGCCATGCCAACGCTATTGATTTTCTGAGGTTTCTTGAAAGTTGTCTACTGTCGACAAAAACTACAATGGGAACCTGAGGAACATTTTCTGAAATTGAGGTTGAGGCTGAGGATCATGATGACCAAATTGCTTTACATCATCAGGCATTCGAATTTCCTATCAAAATGCTGCAGGAGTTTCCTTGGTAGCGCACATATGTTCTTATTTATATTTTAATGCCTACACAATTAATTTCTGTTAGTGTTAGGGTAAGGGTTAGGTTTATGGTTAGGGTTAGGGTTAGGGTGAGTGTTAGGGTTAGGGTTAGGGTAAGGGTTATGGTTAGGGTTAGGGTAAGGGTTAGGTTTATGGTTAGGGTAAGTGTTAGGGTAAGGGTTAGGGTTATTGTTAGGGTAAGGCTTAGAGTAAGGGTCAGGGTAAGGGTTAGGGTTAGGTTGGGATATTGATATCGCATGTAAAATGCCCCAAGTTTCTGTCTTACGGGAAGCGTTGGAGTAGGCATTTAAATATAAATAAGAACATATGCGCGCTACCAAGGAAACTCCTGCCCAAAATGCTTATATAATTATTTGTGAACTGAGGGGGATGCGTGCACCAGACCTAACCTTAAATATATACTCCAGTGCGGTGTAGCTCTTTCGTCTGTGAACATAAATCCTCCCTGAGCTGCTGGGAGGGACTGTGGGGGACACACCTAAAAGTATTTCTTAATGTGTTGGGCCTTTGCTGCTTTTGCCTGCAAATATATTTAGTCCTGAGAAGTTATACGTATAATGCCCTACGTACCCCATGCGCACTTGCAAATTGCATACATGGTGAAGATCTAATATTCCGTAAACCCAAGCAGTCTCTGTGGCGCCTACAGTCACTTTAGTTTTCTTTTCTTTCGCACACGCTCGCCCAAATTTTCAATATTGCCCGCTCAGTCACTATCGAAATTAGATACAATCTCCTCTGTTTTCCTCTCAATCAGCCTGATATCTTTGTATTAGCGACTAGCAGGTCGGGTAAAGGGGACGTCCTGGTGAAGAGTTATTATGCAACGAATACAAATCAACACAGTTTACGCTTCTATACACTATAAACTTACTTTCGTTTCTGTTTCTGAATTTGCGCAAAGGATTCCTTGTAACAGAAACCGCACGTGTTACGGCACTTGACGGCCATGTAGCTGGCGTTTCTGTAGCATTCCAGTTGGTTTTCTAATGTTGTACATTCAGCTATGCTCAGGAGATCAGTACAACGCCTTTTCGAGAAAACTTTGAATGCAAAAAGTAATAAATTAGAGAACTTAGGAAAGTTTTGAAGGAAAGGAAGATGATTTTTTTGTCCACTGGACTGACATGGTGTCTTGCTTTGTGTGTTTGCCAGGTTTTGTGTGATTTTCCAACTTATTTAGCCTGATCTTTGCTTTTAAAGCCTGCCTATGGTTCTATGGATTTTGTTTTCAAATCGAGATTTGTAATCCGAAGTTTCATTCTAATAACCTTAACTTATAGTATTCAGTGCTCCAGCATTACCGTAGGAAAAGAAGTGTAGCAATCCCGGCGAATTCGTAAGCCCCACTTCTCAAGTAAGAGCTCTTTTTAAAAAGACCTCGTTTCATTTCGCCAAACATGAATCGAAAATGGCTTAAGTTTAACAGTGATACAGTAGGTGTATATAGGAGAAATACGCATAGTGCCAACCTATGGATTGAACCCGTTCACCTCATGATTAAAAAATTCAACGGAAGTAAATTAAATTTTCTTCTCTTCGATAAACGATATGCTTATCTTCTACGCTATCGGTGTTTAAAAAGTGGAAGTTAGGTGCCTAGACACTTTCACAAAAATACATAATAGAAGTACTTTTGCGAAAAGAAATCCGCAAAGAGCCTTTAAACAGATGTTCCGCTGTGCTAGATACCTTGCAAGATTCGAAGGAAACTAGTTTACAAGGAAACCTGTTGGAGGAAGTTTCAAATGTATCCACTTTTATATTCCAGTAATCCTTAATTTTCTCTCACGTTAGTCTGGATAATTATTTCATTTCTCAAACCAAAACTAGAACACAATGGGCATATGGTCCCAGAGAACCGCACTGTTACAAAATAAACCCCCCTTAAACGTCAGAAAAGCATTCACTGCCTCATATGCAACGGGCACTTGAGTCTTATTCCTGCTTGACCCCGATTGATCGCAAAAGTCAGCTTGTATCACACCTCCTTTTCTAGTTTACGCTCAGCTACAATATTTCCATTTCCTGATGTGGTCAGAACGGGCAATGCAACAATGCGTATCTTTAATATGCATCTAGCGTCCTCGGTTTTGCATTTGAGAACAAGCCACAGCCTGTAAACAAGCAAATTTCAAAAGGAATACGGTTGTCTGAACTCCTCTTAGAAGTCTGACATAAATAAACGGGACATGTATGGAGAATACTAATGGTTTACCTGCAGGAACTTGACACTGGCAGTTCTTGTCAATAAAGCCAGGTGCCGGACATTGTGGTGGCTTCTTGCATCTTTCTGAGATTTGTTTGGCAGAACAAAGGGCAGAATATAGGTCACATACAGAAAGGTTGACATGTAGATTACACAGAAATGAAAAAAACAGAATTTACTGAAACATCAGGATATTTCACTGCTCACTACGACAAAACTCTTATGATAATTATGAAATGCGTGCGCTGGATGATCTCATCTTGATTTCGGGCAAATTTGAGATTACGTTGGAAGGTATAATCAGTAGGAGACCTTCCAGTATATCCAATGGCTTCACTTAGGAAAAACTTGCGGTTGTGAGCTAGTTACGCTACGTTTTTTCTTATCAAATCAGGTAGAAGAACAGTTAAGTTCGAAATCTGATGGAAAAAACTTAATCCATATCCCAACTCTCTATCTGCTAATTGACAATTATCTGCAAATTTGGCTCAGTCACTGTATAAGATAAAAGTGAAAAAACTTACTGGCACATTCATAATGTTGATTTATGGCTTTGGCATCCCAGAACGAAATGTCCTTTGTATAGACCTCCCTCAAAATATGCCGAACGGCTGGATCCCTCACGGTAAGTGGCGACTTATTGGCATGAATTGAGAAGGACTGGTAAAGCAGAAAACGCTGAAGACGTAAATGAGTTAGCAGATGACATTAACACAAACTCAGGTCCACTTTTAAATCTTTTCTCGTGATCCTTACCCAATTTCAAGTTTCATGAGCTAGTTTAAAAGTTTTGCGTTAGTTTGAGTTAGATGATCTTAAAAATAGGACGAGCATCAGTTGTAGTTCAGTTAACGAAAAGGCTCTTAAACTGAACATTTTTATGTAAAAGTAATGTATAAAAAGGAGTGCATTCTCCCAAGCAAACGAATATGTGAATTTGTTTGAGATACGTTTTACGTACCCCAGGTCCGTAATGCATAACTGATTGGAGATCGTAGGGTGTGCCGTAGGTGCTCAGTTCTGCCCTGTCCTTCCTTGCGTAGAAACCCCAGTAATCTTTTGGAACACCTTCCAAACTAACATCAACGAAACTGTCCCTATCAGCTCTAATGTGTTCGTGGTCCAAGCCAATGACATGTCCCAACTCGTGCATATAGAGTCCGTACTAAAGAAGAAAATAGGGTTAACATTTTATAATAGTAGGCAGTGGACCGTAAAAATTGAAATTGTGAGCTTCTTAATAAGTAGCCATGTTTTAATAAGAAATTTGTCTGTCAAAATGAACATCCATGAGTTAACAAGTCAAGAAAAACCACAAATTGGTACACTTATGAAGTCGTATGTGCAAAAAAACACGTAAAAACTCAGTTGATGGCTTTTGCACTCTATGTAAGGTTTCTGCTCTACGAGGCACTAAATTAGGGCAATGGCGTTTCACAGGGCAACACTTCGATCCATAATCATAATGTTCTTTTTATGCATGACGTTTTATGTGGACGCAAATAAATTTGATTATGTATGCCCGTGGGAAGCTCTACGGTGCCCTAGTGTGCATATGTTTTGAAAAGGTTGCAATGGATCACCAACAAACGGGGTGAATGAAAACAAGCATAAGCAAGAAGTGCCTACTTTCCAGGTCTTACTGGTATTTGTTTATCCATATCTACTCAAAATAAATTATTCGCACCTACTCGCCTGCCCTCCTGGAGAAAATATGAGACAACAAAGGTACCTCTGTCTGACTCTTTGTCGTTGACTACATTAATTAGCTGTTGGGTTCATGTTAATCTAGATGGGAATCTGACATTATGGCAGAGACCATTTATCACAACAGTGACGGTGCCAACTATGACACGGACTTCTACTACTGAAGGGCGACTCAAAGAGCAGCCATTTTCGGGTCCAGGGAAAGTAAATTACAGTTTTTTGCACTACGATTCGCCAACTCATATTTTTCATATTGCTACTGCAATGCGTAATCACCCAAAACATGGAACAGATTTTAAAAATTAGTCACGTAAAATGGTATACAAACCAATTGTACACTCATAACCAAACCATCAGCTTTCTGCAACTTAACAGAGGTCTTAATTTCAATATTTCCTCCGGAGTTTGGCATCTGGATCAAGGTTTCAAGATTTCGTAAATTGTACTAGACAAAGGCAGATGGTGCAATATACAATATACATTCATTTATTTACATACTTCTGGACTGAACAGTCCATTCTCTTAACTCAGTTATACACAGAATGGCACTACCGCCAAATACAAGGGACAATGCAATGGCCATTTCGGCCTTATGAGTCATCACCAGACAGCCAATTCCAACCCCAAATATTGCAACATACGCATTGGACTTCTAAACAACAACCTGCTCTTAAAGCTTGCTCATGCTCGCCGTTAACTGTGGTAGACAGCCCATCTGGGTGATCTCAGAGTTGTGGTGTGCCAAAGGTTAACAGTCCGTAGTTTTCTATTAAGACTCACTTATGCTCGCCGTTCATTGTGGTAGACATACCACCGGGCCATAGTAGAGTTGTCGTGTGCCAAGGGCAAACCGTTCTTACTATAGAAAAGCCTAATGACTAGACAGACGATGAATGACTAACCAGTAATCCTAGAACCAGAGTCGGTTGCTAGTTGAATTCTCTTCTACGCCATGACGGCTTTACCGGTCTCGGCTTGTAATCGGTGTCATTATAGTATTTGGTCCATATGATGAAGGCACGAGATGGCAGTTTTAGGACATATGGACATTTACTCCTCGGCGTTAAGGTATAGTAACAGTGAAATCAGGTTATGAACCTGTGCATTGTGCCTATGGGATCGGCATGTTTATCTTTGCCCTGATCTTTTGTGTAAGTCGATTAGGCTATCGGAACCAAAAAAATATTCCCAGTATGCGGTAGCAGCGGGATTACATATACATTTCCTAGTTGAGCCAGATTACAGTTATGCTTTGCCTACTTTATCATTGTGAGCCCTTACGAATGGCTAATAAAACTGACCACATACCACTTGCTTTTGTAAGGATATCCGGGTAAAATTAGGGAACTGTGTTCTTCCGACCAGTTTATAGGAACTGGAAATATAAAACCTTGCAAGCGTGTGGTGTATCACTTCCTGTAACCGACAGGCCCTCGCTGAAGCTCGTTTATTGTCGGCAAAGCTGTTGAATGCACAGTGGAGGGGAACATTGCGAATGCCTACATAGGTCTATACGCAGCACGTGACTTGATTTAAATAGTAAGCACAATGTACTACTTACTTCGCTGAGTAAACGAGATATAGGCCTTTTTAGGCACGCAGGCGAAAACTTTCAAAGGCATGTCAGATGCGCAGAACGATTTCGAACGCAGATCCTTTTAACTCTAGAATAAAGTTTATAGTACGGTCAGTCGTTGGCCTGTTCTACTCTTATCGTAACCCTTACCCGTAGCCGTGGCAAATAATATTATAGAAGGGTCGAGTAATAGACTACTCGGATCTCGGCTACTCGGGTCTCACTGCAGTGGGAGTGCCATAAAGGCTGCAGTAGGAAGGAATCACAGAGTCTGTCTCAAAACCGTCGTCCACAGCATTCCAGGCCACGACATTTACCTCATCATAAGAATTCCAGGACGCTTCACATCTATTAATGTGCCGGGGTCTGGGTTCCTTAGTGTCAATTCCCGACGGATATGATCAAGTTATCAATCAGTAGGCAACCTTCTAAACTAAAACTTAGAGCAAATATCTGGGTAGTTCAGCTTTCGTGCATCTTGTTTACAAGTGCCTGTAGCAACTCTATTAAGAAAGAGTCCCCATGCAGCCTTCCATCAATGCCTCTAACGAGATGATCAACTCCTTGATGTCGAAAAGAATCAAATATCATGTTGTGTTTACTGGAATGAGTTTGTTTGTTCACTTACATGATATCTGATTCTTATTCCGGAATTATGACTTTTACAAACTTGATGTCGAAATTCTTGATCTCTGGAATTCTCACAATAACCATACCTGCTGTATCCCTAATTATAATTTACACGAAGTTGAATGAGCATTTTTTCCCGGGCTTTCGGTCTGTCGAGCAGTTTTAGGTTGATAATCTTTTTCGTTTTCATTTATGTTTGGGATCACTTCACTGCTATGCCATAGTGAATAAAATAGGTTCCTAGGAACCCGAAGGTAATTTACCCGTCTAAATTTACGTTTGCTTATACGGACGTTTTAATACTGATGAAGCTGCCGAGTTCTATATGATGCGTAACAGCCGTTAGAGTTCGCCAGTGTCAAAAGATAAAGACTATGTTGTCTAGTTGTTTAATTATGGTTGCGTCAATTCAATAAATGTGAAAGTATTTCATTGGAAGCATATCGTCAAAGCGAATGCCATTCCTTAACCTTCTATATGAGTGATCCTCGGAATTTTTAACAGTTACGTCACTAACACAGCAATTTAACTTACAAATCTACATCCGTGTTTCGAAAAATTTACGATTTGCTCGCCATTTCTCCCACTGAATCCAATGTACTGAGAATTGCAGCTAAAAATAACGAGAAAAAAAATCAGTTAAAAGCATTTGCGACGTTTGTTTTACTTAGTATGCAGAAATTCGTGAATACTTCTTCATGGGCTGCGTCCCATGTCGTTACTTAAGGAACTTTTATCCCGATTTTCGAAACTACTTTTTTTATCACCGGAGTATATCGTATGGAAGCCTAGATTAGCAGTTAATAACTAGTTAACATTTCGAATTGTTCGACCTTGAATTAGAAGCAACCTTCAAATGCCATGTTTCAAGAGGAAAAAAATGCCTACAATTGGCTGCAATACCTAACTGCAAGACCAAGCATAATAAGAATAAAATACAAAATTAATGCTAGTTATATTCCTTCTAACCATTTATGGTTTCTTTATGCGACTCGGGATTAATTCCATGCTTTCAATAAAAGAAGGTAAATTAAGCAATATTTTCCATTCGCAGTTACTGCTTAATTCGTCGATCCTTCATGTATGCTATATAGTGCCTACTGCCACTTATAGTGATTGGGACACAGCATTTTTCAGAACCTGCCGATGCGGAGTCTGCCCAATAAGAAATGTCAGGAAAATGAACTTTTTTATGACTTTCTGAAATAAAGTTAATTCGAGCCTGGTAACATTATGCAGCCTCTTGCGCATCTAATTGTTCAGCGCCATTTAAAACTGATTGCTGTTTGCTCTTGTCCTTGTCTTCCCAAAGTATGTCCTTACTTTGACCGTTTGACTGTAGCGAACGACAACGTCTACAACCTGAGAACAGGGACGGTGAGTTGGGCATGATGCATTTACTTTACTCAATTGGCCGAAATTATCTTGCTGAGCCTAAGAAAATCAACTTCGTTTTTTTTTCAAATCCAGGCCTACTCTATGGGCTCTTTCTCCGGTCGTAGAAGTCTCTGATCTTACCACATGGTATAAGATGTACGTCAACCAACAGGTGACTGTAAAAAACGATTTAAACATTTTGTGTCAAATGGCAACTGACTTACAGACATACTTGTCATTAAACGGGAACTCGTGACAAACGAAATTGTCAGGCTATTACTAATCGTTGTTAAAAATGCCTACAACTCTAGGATAAATGACAGCGCATGTTAACTGCTAAGGCAATTTGGTGTTTTAATTTTAGCTCCAGATATTAAATTTAGTCAGAATCCCATTGTAATCTGCACAATAAAGTTAGCCTGTTCTAGTTAGTCCGAACGTCTCGGACGAAGTAGTTGACTCATGTCTTTGTACTGTTTAAACCTGATATCATCATGAGAGCAGTTTCATAAGCAGTTTCATATGATATGTAATCCTTGAAAGAACGTAACGACTTTTCATGCAGGAGGAGGCAATTAACAGAACGTTAGGCCAAAACGTTCTGCATCTAATTAAGGCGGATGGAATACCGAAAATATGTCGGCTTCTTTGTTTACCTTATACGCCTTGAACGTTTACAATTATCGCTTACAACTTTCAGCTGCCGGTATGTCCGTCATAATCTATGTGAATTCCTTTTTAACAATCGATATTGTGCACTTTTACATAAGCAATTTTTGGAACATGATCAGAGCCCGGACTTGTTCCGAGTATTAAGGGAAAAAACTTCACGTTCAGCCTCTGGTGAAAGAAACCCCAAAAATGTTTAAAGAGTTTAAGCTATTTCAAAAAACTCCTGGTGAGAATGACTAAGTTTATCAAGCTGCCTAAATAACGATTGTTTGTAAAGAATGCCTGCGGAAAGGTTATACTCCCATGCACAAAGGAAGACGAGGTTTTTATGCGAATTTTGTAATACACTTTACAGATAAAAGGATCTCTTAAAACGTTTGCTCTGCGCTTCTTTGCTTTATTCTTTGCGTGATTGTGATTTTCAATTATATTCATCAGTTTAAGAGTGTTAAGATGGGGGGCCCAGAGTTTCACTAGTGGTGTTAGTGGATATATTCCTAAATGATCATTGAAATAACTTTCGTCATTAGAAATTATGCACGCTGAAAATTAAGCCGCAGAAACTCGCATTAAAAAACTTGACAGGCAGATATCACTCCAATATTTTATTAAATGGGTAGCATGCAACAAGCTAATTGCACTGCAAGAGCTTATCAAACATATCACGTATAATAGCCATTAAAAAATTAAGTAATAGATGCTTGAAACCTTTCTATTAGACACTACTGTTTATCGGTTTCTGTTAAGTTATTCCAAGGTAGCACCAAGATTTTAGCATACGAATTAATTCAAATGATTTTACCCACCCATCTCCATCCGTGATCCGGATCCAGCTCTTATCCCCACTTCGATACGGTCGAAACTGAATACAAGTTTCATTGTTCCATGTTTTTATGGCTTCCATGAGGTCGTCGAGTTCACTCTTTGCTAAAAACAGGTACCACGTCAACACGATTTGTATATTGAAAGAAGGGCTACAATTTATTTCTCGAGGGCAGCTTGCCTATTTCCAGTAAGTAAAATTTCCTCTACAAACAAACAGGTATAATGCTGCTAACTATAAAGCATCATTTGAAGTATTTCTTACAGTTGCTATGGGTGGGTCCACCGATGGAAATGATTCTTTTAGCCCAATTCTGCAAAACTCGGAAGCCTCG